ACACATTAGGCTGCCGTCTCTGCTTTGATGCTGCAGAAATTAGTCCTTAACCTTTCTGAGGGGATTATGAGCAGGGCCCTGCTGGGCACGTCTGGCTCCTCCTTGCCTCCAGCGTGCAGACCTAAAGCTCGTCCTGGAAAGAGAGGCTGCACCAGGTGTATCAGCGAGCGGGGGAATTCATTTTCACGTAAGAGGTGATCCGAGTCTAGCTGAGTGGCAGAAAGTCAACCAAGTCAGGACTCTTGGTTGCAAGTGACAGAAAGGAAACTCAAACTGGGTTAAACAAACAAACAAAAGAAGGCAACGCGGACGGACCTTGAGGGCATTATGCTAAGTGAAATATGTCAGAGAAAGACAAATACTGTATGATGTCCCTTAGATGTGGAATCTGAAGAAACCAAATTCATGGTAAAGAGATGAGATTTGTGGTTGCCAGAGGCAGGGGGTAAAGGGTGCAGAAAATGTGTAAAGAGGGACAAACAGTCCAAGCCTCTGATTTTGTTTTTTGTTTTCCTTTTTCTGAAGCTGTCATGCATGCAGGGTTTAAAGCAAGAGTCACAACCTCACATGCCCACAGGCAGGTGTCCTCACATTCACGAGGTAGGCTTCAGAAGCAGAGAGGCAATGGGGAGGGGTGGGGACTGGGGCAAACTGGAGAGCTCGTATTCTCTCTCTGGGTAGCTGCCAATCACACCCAACCAATACTTAACAATGTGAGAAAGAGCAGCCATTGTTTGCAGAGCCTCCGATTTTTCAAGAAAAGTGGATATACACAGTTTTAGATGAAATCTCCTGATTTCTGAATGATGATAATGAATTCAAATTTACTCAAGAAACAATTACTTGGGCCAAATAACACACAATTATAAGCCAGATCTTACGTGGGGCTCACATTTTTTTTAAAAGTCAGGTTTATTGAGGAATAATTTACATAGAATAAAATCTACCCTTTTTAGGTGTACAGTTCTATGAATTTTTGGATTTCACCAGTTTTTCCATGAATGTCCTTCATTCCTATTCTGGAATCCAACCCAAGATACCACGTTGCATTTAGCCGTAGGTTTTTTAGATGCATATTTTAATGTCTCTAGAATCAGGATTCATCTTATAGTCAATACTGTCTTACAATGATAGCTGGGGTATTTTTTTCTTAGTGTCACATAAAATTATAGAGTGTCTGGGATTTAATGAAATATGGTATTATTATTATTATTACTTGATCTCCTTAAGCCTCCACTTTCTCATCTGTGAAATGGGAACAGTGCTAGGACTCCCTTCGTACAGATGTGGGAGGATCAAATGAGAGACTCCACGGAAAGGCCGAGCACAGAGCTTGGGGCCCATAAGCACTCAGTAATTAATGGTTGGTGTTAAACCAACATGTCAGCTCTCTCTGGAGCGTGCTTGCTGGGGCTGGAGAACAGACAGACCTTTCCCCACTTTCCCTTCAAGGAGAAAAGTTGCCTGCAGCCCCGATTTCTGAACAGCTTTTGTTCTCCAAGCTGGAGCCCACAGAAAGAGCTACCAATTAAAATAACAAAGTTTCAGGTGACAACATTTGCAGAAGTAGCTACAAATGTTTACCAAAAGCCCAGTTGGTGGGCCAGTGAGACAGTCACCTCTTCTGGAAGGTCTGAAGCCACATTTCATGTTAGAAGGAGACCCTAGCTTTGCTCAAGCTCCAGCCCCCAGCCCTCTTTCTGCCAAGTGTCTGGGGCCAGGCCCCCCGCACTGTCACCTTTTCCCCTTCTGCTTTCGCATTCTGAAATGCATTCACTTGTCTTCTCTGGCGTGCACATTTTCAAAATTGCACCAGCCACACATTTCTTGTGAACAATTGAGATTGTCATAGAGAATTGAGATAATATAAAAGAATGAAATAAAAAAAGTGGCCTGTAACCCCACCACTCAGAGATTGTCACCATGGCTGCCAAGTATTTGTACCTGACTGTTAAAAAAGATAATATTCACTGTAAAAGAAATGAGAAATTGTAGGAAAAGCACAGAAGCCAACCATCCCCTCTCATCTCAGCATGCGCACGCGCACCCTTTCAGAACTTTTCACGCCTATGTTTTCATATTTATTTTAAAATATTGCCGGCCTCAGGAACTGAGAGGGGGCCCTGGTGGCAGACCACCTGGGTTTAAATTTTGCCTCCACTGCCAAATAGCCGTGGGCAACTTGTGTGACTTCTCCAGGCCTCAGATGTCATCGGAACCTTCTCCAGTGGTCGAGAACATTAGCATACCACGCTTGGCAGAGTGAGCCTTGAAAAATGGCAGAGACGGGTGGTGTGTTCGTTTTCCATCGCTGCCTGACAAACTACCACAGAAACCTAGAGGTTTAAGACAGCGCCCGATTATTCTCTCGCGTTTATGGTCTCACTGTGTTTGGGCTCAGGATTCCAGGTGCCGCGCTGCACTGCCCTCTGCTCAGAGCCTCCCAGGGGCACCATCGAGGTGTTGGCTGGGGCTGGGCTTTCTCTGGGGGCTTGGGGCCCTCTCCCGAGCTCACGCGCTTGTTGGCAAAATTCATTTCTTTGCAGCTGGGGGACTCAGGGTGGCTGCTCCTTCCAGGACAGCAGAAGTGCGCTGCTGCTGGGAATCTCTGACCGCTTCTGTCCCTGATCTCTGGAGCCTCTTTTAAAAGGCTCACCTGATTAGGTCAGGCCCACTCAGGACGACCTCCTTTTGATGTACTCAGTCAACTGATCCAAGACCTTATTACATCTGCAAAATACCCTCACCTTTGCCCTATAACGTAACATAATCACGGGGCAACATCCCGTCTTATTCACAGGTCCTGCCCACACTCAGGGCAAGGCGGTTACACAGGACATGTGCCACAGGGGAGAGAATCTTGGGGCCATCTTAGAATTCTGTCTACCACAATTAGCACTCATAAGGCCTTACCATCACCTGTGTTTTGGTTTCGGAGCAAACCAGAGAAACTTAAGCTGTTCCCAAGGATTCATACTTGGTATGAGATCTCATCTATCTGAGCAAGCGTTGGAATTGAACGTGCTTTTGAATAAATGAACAAGCAGTTTAATTCAGAAAACGTTGATTAATTAGCTCATTCATTCATTCATTCATTCATTCATTCCTTAAGTGGTTACTGCACCTCTGGGGCCCCCTGGGCTTAGTGCTGAAACGTGAACTCACCTGGGTACTGAGAGTAGCAGGATCTTTTACTGAGTACTTACTCCAGCCAGGTGCTGCTGCCGGTGTGTTTGATGCACTAGCTTATTCATCCTCATGACACCCCTGTGACAGATGCACCAGTATTCCTTCCATTTTGCAGAGAGATTGGAGTCAAGAGAGGTTGTTTAACCCCGCCAAGATCACACAGCTAGAAAGCTGCAAGGCCGAGTCGGGGTCCAGGCATTTTTGGCTGCAGAGCCCCCGCGTGCACCACACGGCACTGTTGTCGCTGCACTAGCAAGCGCAGCCACACGTGCGATGTTACGCCCAGCCCCTTTCCTCTCTTCGCAGCTCCTCTCTCTGGACTCTCCCTGGGCAGACCAGGAAGTCCGGGGGAGGAAGGGCAAGCCTGCAGGAAAGCTTCAGCCTCAGTCGCGTGCCGCTGCCACAGGGGAAGCAGCCACGGTCCCATGACCCAAGGAAGCAGACCTGAGCCCCGGACAGGGGGCATTTCCGGGCCCCCCGTGTCCACGTCCTCTGCCTCTGTCAGGAGCCCCCCTGAGGAAAAGGTGGAGGGGAAGGGGTTGTAGCTTCTCTGTCCAGAAGCTGGCACAGCCCCTGCACCGTGCGGCCACTGCCCACTTCTCCACCCAGCAGCTCTGGCCAGTTCCGGGAATTTTCCGGGCATCAAAAATGCACACGGTGGCTGTGGGTTGGGTGACCCTCGTCTGCACACCCTCCTGCCCCCTCCCTCGCCCCTCCTTCTGCTTATTTGTCAAGGACACTTTTTCTTGAAGAAGGATTTAAGCAAGTTGAGGGTAGAAATCTTGATGAGACCATCTGGACACATCTGGCCCCTGCACAGCTGCCTCTGTGCGGCAGTGGACGGCAGAGACCAGGCGCTCGGCCGTGGAAAATCCAGTGACCAGATGCAAACACTGCAGCTGCTTAACTGCTCTGTGCCTCGGTTTCTCCAAATGTAAAGTGGGGATAAGGTCAGTCTCTGCCTTAAAGAGCTGCGTTTGGAGGATCACGCGAAATGATGTACACGAAGCGCTTAATACCGTAAGCTTTCGGAATCTGAGAGCTATGATGATCCCCGAGTAACATGGCTTTCCTCTTTCCACGAAGGCAAAGGCCCCGGCAGAGGCTGTTCTGTCCCTCGCCTCCAGGTCCCTCTTCCTTCCAGCGCACACCGCTCCCTGCAAACCGGCCAGGGGCCTCCCGCGGCGGGATTCATCCAGGTCTACTCAGCCCGCGGTGGCCTCCGGCCTCGCCCCCTGGACACAGCGATTGGTGGTCGGGTGGGCACTGGACAGAGGCCGGGCCAATCAAAGCCCTTCCCTTTCAAACCGGCCGGGATGGAGAAAAACCGCTTCTGTCCTCACGGTGCCCGGCCTTCTGTGAACTGCACAAACCCGGCATAATTTACTCCTGGTCTCTGCTCGGCCGGGAGCCCCCTGAGCGCGGGGCGACCAACGTCCTGTTTTCCCGTGTGTCCAGCACAGGGCTCAGCGCCAGCCCACGGCGGGGGTCGAATTCGATGAATGAGTGAACGAATGAGCTGTTCTGCTTTCTTCTCCTTTCCCATCAATCCTAAACCATTGCTTCCTCTCCGAGGAAGAGCTTTCCTTCCCTTTCTTTCTTAGTCATTTTTCTTATTTATTTTTCACTTTTCATTAATGGAATTATTTCAAACTTGAGAATAGGATAAGAAACTCCCACACACCCTCTCCCAGCTTCTATAATTATCATCAATCTGACCTTCTTTTTTCATAAATCTTACCCTCTTTTATAGGGGTAGTGGGGGACACAGATGCTGGGATATTTTAAAGCAAATCCTAGACACTGAATCATTTCACCCCGAAATACTTCAGTATGTATTCTTAACAGATAAATATTTTTTAAAATAACCATAATACCACTATCACGCTTAAGTAAAGCAATAATAATGTCTTAACGTCACATAATATCCAGACTGTGTTCAAATTTCCCCCATTATCTCAAAAACTCTCAAATCCTGCCGAGGTACGTTCATGCTGAGGTGTATCAGTCGGGATTTTTTGGTCGCAAGTGACAGAAACCCAGCTCAAACCAGGTGAAATCAGGAAGGGGGATTTGTTGGCTCCTGTAAGGAAACCGAGAAATGGGAGGTGGAGGGGCAGCAGGGACCCCGGATCCAGAACCCCGTCCAGTCGGGGCTCCCTCTTGCCCCTGCGTTTCTCTGGCTGGCTTTACCTCCTTAGACTGTTCCCGGGACGCTGGGATCACGACCTCTGGCAGGTGCAGGCTTACCGTCTTTCCGTTTTGTGATGATGCCAGTAAGTTTTCCTCTATCCAGTCCTGTTTCAAAGGGAAGGACTTTGATTGGCTCAGCTTCGGTCCCGTGTCCACCCCATCACCAATCACTGGGGGGGGGGGGGGGGGGGGGGGGGACTGGTGATTGACAGGCCGCACTGCCACCGCAGGTGCGCGTGAGGGGAGGAGCCGTTTCCCAGCGGGAGGAGCATCCTGCGGGCAGGGACCCGCGCAGATCGAAAACGGGCGGTGTCTGCGCCGGGGTGTTTCCAGGGGCTCCTAGAAGTCAGCAGGCCTGGAAGATGCTGAACTGAAGATAGTTGAGCTGCCCCTCCCGTCTTTAGAAGGCAAAAGTGTGTGGTGAATCCCTAGGAGTGCAAAAGAGAATTGGCAAACTCAGTTGATTTTGGAAATCTTTTAATTTTTGTGCATTCTCTAACAAAGGTTCTGTCTCGCCTAAAGGGGCAAAAATTGGTTCTTGGGGCAGGGGACGAAAAAAATCCTACTTTTTTTTGTTTGGGAAAATGTCCAGAAAGGCTCCTTAGTGGAGTGATGAAGAAGAAGGTTGAGAAACGCTGTTTTACTTTCCCTCTAAGCCTAGTTTGGTCCTCTGTAAAGTTGGGAAAATAGCAGTGTCCGATTCAGAGAGCTGTTGCGAGACCCGCAGGCCTTTGAAGAGTCTGGCCCCGAGGGAGCGCTGTGTAGTGTGGGCTATCCTCCTAGGCGTGGTTGCTGACGTTTTCGGAGCATTTTACAAGTGCTGAGAAATTAAAGAGCGCCAGTCTAGTGTCAGATGAACTGGGTTTAAAATCTTCCCTTAAATTTTTGAATACTGCATTTTCTCATTTTGCAAATGAAATAAAAAGAAGACTTGCTTTGCAGGGTTACTGTCAAGGTTAAAGGCAACAGTATAGGCAGAGTCCCCCGTACGTGTTAAGCAACTGTATCGTAAACCCTTCTGCAGATGGGGAAACAGGCCCTGTGCCCTGGAGAGATGCGCTCGGGTTCGTGCAGCCCCCACAGCCGCCAATCCCGCCCATCGTGACTCCAGGGCGCCGGTCTGCAGGCAGCCTGTGATTCACCGCTTTCTCCAGGAGGTCACACCTCCGCCCTTCCCCTCCCGCTCAGCTCACGGAGCCTGCATCCACCCAGCTGGCTCCCAGGCCCGTGAACTCTCCCAGGCGTGAGGTCTTTGCTTTTGTTACTTTTTTTTCCCCTGCAGCCTTCAATTTTGCCTTTGTCTGAACAGAACAGCGGAGAAGGTGCTGGGCTTCCCCCTGCCTCGTCCCTCTGCCTGGTGCTGCCTGTGGTCACCCAGAGCCCTACACGCTGTTGTCTTCTCTGCTGGAGGTGGCATAGGCAGGCCCAGGTCTGGGTCTGGGACTCAGGCTGCCAAACGCCAGGTCAGGACACTGACTGGGTTTCTGGCCCCAATTTTCTGGTTGTGCAGACAGCAGCCTCTCGGTTTGAACCCAGCTAGTTGCCTCCAACGCATTTGCCCTTTGGAAACGGGAGGCTGAGGGTCCTGGGCTCGCGAGCTCCATTGCAGAGGCGTAAATTCTTTCTTTTTGTCTTCATTCCGTCAGCGTGAAGGGAGTGTCCGGTGCAGTCACCGGGGTGTGGCCTCTGTCTGGTGGCTGGCTCATGTTCTGGGGGCCGTGGAGAGAGGGTGAGGAATGCCAGGCTTGCCCACCACCCGCTTGCCGGTGTCTGGAAATCAAAGGCTCTGGCCGCCTTGGGGGAGACACGGGAGGCAGAAGACCCTTCCAGTGGCTTCCTGTTGCCTGTTCTGTTTTTAACGATAGAGTCTGGTCACTGGAATGGACTGCTTGCAATCAAAGTCCCATTTTCTTCCGGCCTGTACTGACTGAGTGACCCTGGCCAAGAGCCTTAACCTCTCCAGGCCTCCGTTTTCTCATCTGCAAAGTGAGGACAACGATGCTGCCTCCCTCACAGGGTTGTCGTGAGCACGAAGCGAGTGACTGCTTTTAGGCCTGGCACGCAGCGCACACTCAGTAGATGCCAGCTGTTGTTAATCGTGGTGTCTGGCCCTGCGTGAGCTGGCCCCGTCCACCTCGCTGACTTCATTTCCTACCACTCCCCCACTGCGAGGCAGCCACGCTGGCCTCTCCTTCCCTTCCAGAACATTCCAGGCTCGTGTCTGCTCCCGGGTGTTTGTCCTCACTTAGTCCTCCTGGGAAGTGCCCCCCTTCTCATCATCTCAGGTCGGAGGTCACCTCTTCCAGGAGGCCCCTGCCACCTTCTCGTGACCTTGTTTTATTTTCTTCATAACCTTTCCCCCCACTTGAAATTATTTAATGTATTTATCTCTTTGCTTGTGTGTTTTCTGATCCACCCCAGCAAAGTAAACTTCCATTTTTAGGAACCCTGTCTGTACCCCTGAGTGCCAAAAATAGTGGTGGTCAACCAATGACTGTTGAAGGAATGAGTGAATGGGCAGCTGCATAGAATATCGGCTTAAATAATATAATAAAGCTAATGCCGCTTGGGCTTTTGTTATGTTATGTATGCATTTCTTCTTTCAATTCTATGGCAGCCCTCCACGGTAGGTACCCTTGTTGACTTTATACCACAGATGAGTTAACAGTCTCAGAGAGGTTAAGTAACTTTCCTAAGGTCACACAGCTTGTAAGCAAGAGAGGCTCAAAATGACTCAAGTCTGGGTCTGTCCCAGTGTTTCCTTGGCCTTCTTATGAATGAAGTCCTGGAACTTTGAGGGAAGCAGAGAAGAGAGGGTGTGCAAATCCCCATGAGAACATCAGTGCTAATGTGTCTGACTGAAAGCACGCTTTTATTCTTTACTAATCACATTCACATCCCAAATCATGTGTGAGCCCTCAGCCTCCCCACTGGTGCGCAGGTGCTGTGTAGGTAGGATGGACATTTCTCTCCCTATTTCACAGCCCGGAAAACTGAGGCTCAGAGCAAAAGTGGGTCTCTCGGGGCCACCAGAGCCCTGCTTAGCATTCTATGGGATGTGTGGTTGCCTCATTTGAGAAAGGTCTTGGCTGGGACCCTCCTCCCCTGGGAAACCTCCCTGGATCAGCCTGGGTCAACTGCTCCTCTGTGTCACATTGCCTCAAGGTCCTCCATCCTAGCACCTGCCCCAGGCTGTCATCGTTGCTCATTGCATTGTCCCTCTCTTGCTAGACGTGTGTCATCCAAGTCAGTGGCCGCTAGTCCAGTGGTCCTCAACCGGGGGCAATTTTGCTCCCCCCCTCCAGGGGACATTCGCAATGTCTGGTGACATTTGTGGTTGTCAGAACTGGAAGGTGAGGGTGTTACTGGTATCTAAGGAGGCTGCTTAACACCCTCCAGGGCACAGGACAGCCCCCATAGCAGAGAAGGATTCGGTCCAAAACATCATGGAGCCGAGGTTGAGCTCTAGACGCCAGTGGCTGTTGAGCACTTGAGATGCGGCTGGACCAAGTGGTGACACCAGATTCCAAGGACTTAGTGTGAAAAAAAGAAGGTAAAATATCCCACAAATAACTTTTAAATATTGAGTAGATGAGGAATAATATTTTGGATATATTGAGTTCAACAAAATAGATGATGAAAATTAATTTTACCTATTTCTTTTCATGATTTTAATTGTGGCTGCCAGAAAATTTCAAATCACATGCGTGATCACATTATACTTTGTTTGGACAGTGCTGTACCAGACAGGACGTGCTGTGCAAGCAAGGCTCTGTCCGCATCTGTCTGGGTTTGCTCATCCTGGTAAATGCAGCGCTGAGCAGAGGCTTGGTACGTGCTGGGTGCTCAGTAGATAATCATGGAAGAAGGAGGAGAGAAGGAAAAGAAGGAAGGGAGGGAAAAAGGGAGGAGGGTGGGGAGGAGGGGGGAGGGTCAGTGGTCCAAGGGGCAGTCCTGATAGGACCCTAAAGTCTCATTGGTGAGCCCAGAATTGTTCTCGTAAGTCCAATATTTAAGGCATCTGCCAAAGAGAACTCCTTCCTTCTAGAAGATGCTCCAGGAGCACTGTCCCTGATGCTCCGACCAGGCCGTTTGCGTCTTCTTGCCGTGTCCCCTCCCACTCCACCCTGGCTGAGAGTGATCTTGGAGAAGCCACTTAATCCCTTGTTTTGGAGCTTCTCCACTTGCAGCCTGCTCCCATCTTGGTCCTCCTCAGCATGAGGTTCAGTTGATTTTTTTAAATCCGGCTCTCAGAGCCAGGATCCTCTGGGACATGAATCCAGACAGCAGGGAAGCAGTCGCAAGCTTTCTGTGACTTTAATTGTCTGCAGCAAATGGGTTGGTCATCCCCACAGGAAGAAGGGACGAGCTCTGGAACACATATTTGAAAGCTTGTCCTGTCCTGACAATGGCTTTCTGGGAACACGGCTAATTCTTCATCATTACACAACAGAGAGATGGTTAAGCAAGTGTCAGCTGTGGTGAACGCCAGTGGATTGGACTGAATTCTGTCCCCAAATATTAAAAACAGCTCAATTTTCTTGTCAGCCCTCTAAAGATTTGGGGATTGGCTGGGCATGGCTTCTAAGGGAGGACTGATTCCAGGTGGCACTGAGAGAGGACGTCTAGAGGGGACATATTTGCATCACGACCTGCCTTCTGCTTCCCCAAGTAGCTGCATGACTGTCAACACTGAGCAGCATGGCTGGGAAACTGGAATTTACAGGCCTGAATGTCAAGTTTGTTTTACTGTAAATGCTCCTGGGATTTTTTTCCCTTAAAAAAAAGTCTGGGGCCGGCCCAGTGGCCTAGTGGTTAAGTTCATGCACTCCGCTTTGGCGGCCCAGGGTTCACAGGGTCAGATCCCAGGCGTGGACCTACACACCTCTCGTCAAGCCACGCTGTGGCGGTGTCCCGCTTACACAATAGAGGAAGATTGGCACAGACGTTAGCTCGGGATGTTAGCTTTATATTTTTTGAGGCTTATCGCTTTGTCATATATGTTGAAAATATTTTTCCTAGTTGCTCCATGTCTTTTAATGTTATCGGTGGTGGTTTTGGATGTCCAGGAGTTTTGGGTGTCTATGTTGAACCATTTTAT